ACAAATGTGTATTTAAGACAAATGAGAGAACATTGCAAAGTGGTTTCCCAAGGCATTTCCCCTTTTGTTTACATGGTCAGAAGGAAAATCACAATCAGTTTTAATTATAAAATGTGCCATGTTTTGGTGGTGTGAGCAATCAGATTATTATAGTTGATGTCTGTACCAAAGATCTGGAATGGGGGCAACCTTTATATTTTATTACTGAAGTCCTGTGCTCCTTTGGCCATTTTATTAAAGTCTTCCCTCACCTTTGATAAATAGCAGGAGGATTCAGGCTAACAGTTACAGTTTTCATCCTGAAGGAGCAGAAACATGATCACTCCTTCCCTGAGATGAAATGTGGGAGTGTACATTGCTTTGGAGGCAGTATTCACTCTTAAATGTAGTATTGTTTTATGGCTGAAATAGCTAATGAAGAGCCCTATCTGGATCCAGATTTAATGTTACATGGCCGCAAACTAGGAAAATGGGAAGAAATTATTTGGGGGATGTTCTGGATCTGAGAATGTTTTTTTAAAAAAGTTTCAGCCCATGGGAGGAAAAGAAGTATCTTTAAATAGAGATAGTTACATATTTTTCCTCATCTAGGCTATTGCTTTAAGGATGTATCATTGGATGCAATGCAAGGATATCATTGTTAGCTAGATTCATTTTTTTATGATCATGAATCCTCTTGAGTGCTAGTAGAGATTTTAATACTGATTTTCCCTAAAACATGAGTATTAAGAAGTGATAACTCCTGGTTTAGAGAATCTGGAGGAATTGCCATTTTAAGGAAGAAACACTGGAAATCTCTGCTATCACAAAGATGTTTAAGAGTGTACATAGTAGGTGCTCAACAAATTTATTGAATGAGTGAATGGAAAAATTGCTTGGGAGAGTCAAAAGTGAGCAGAAATTCTCCATTTCTATTCTTGTCACAAGCCACATTTGATTATAAATAAGGTCCTGTTCTGCTTCAGGCAGCAGACTGTCTAGAATCCTAAAGGGAGCAATTTCTGTGACAAGACAGAAAGGAGATATTTTATACCAGTGGTTGGCAAACTACTGCCCATGGGCCACATTTGGCCCAGTCTGCTTTTGTATGGTGCAAACTAAAAATGATTTTTATATTTTTAATGGGTTATAAAAAAATATATGTTACAGAGAACATATATGGTCTGTAAAACCTAAAATATTTATTATCTGGCCCTTTGGAGGAAAAGTTTGCCAACCTCTGTTTTATACCATTAACTAACTATGAGATTAACAGAAACTTTTACCTTTGTGCAAAAGGTAAAAAAGAGCATGGTTAAGGAAAAGGAGATGTGTTACCTCTTCATATATTCCTCTAACCGTGGCATTGCAAAAATAAAAAAATAACCACCTTTTAAAAAATAAATTTTATTTAAATCACTGTCTTCTGACTTATTTTGATTCCTTCAAGCTACTCATGGAAATGAAATCTGTGTGAATAGTCACTTAGGAATGTGTTGATTTTTATTTCATGCTTTGTTTTGATTAGCCCTATAACCTACTGTTTTTTTTTTTTTGTTTTGTTTTTTGTCTTTTTGTTTTGAGACAGAGTCTCACTCTGTTGCCTGGACTAGAGTGCTGTGGCGTCAGCCTAGCTCACAGCAACCTCAAACTCCTGGGCTCAAGCAATCCTCCTGCCTCAGCCTCCCAGGTAGCTGGGACTACAGGCACGCACCACCGTGCCCGGCTAATTTTTTCTATTTTTAGTTGTTCAGCTAATTTCTCTCTATTTATAGTAGAGACGGGGGTCTCACTCTTGCTCAGGCTGGTCTCGAACTCCTGAGCTCAAACGATCCGCCCGCCTCGGCCTTCCAGAGTGCTAGGATTACAGGAGTGAGCCATCGCGCCTGGCCTTAGCCCTATAACCTGTGTTCCACAGTGGAACGTCTTCCTGGAATCCATAAATTCTCTCAGTTTTCCTTTCTGTGAAGTAGGGATTAGATCAGAAAGATTATGTTTTTTGGAACATCAGTCAATTTGCTTTGGAAGTCCTTTGAAGTACTATTGGAATCTTAGTCCTTTATGTGGTGGTAGCAATAGGTTGTGGCTATGGAATTTGATAGAGCCTATTTTAACTTAGTAACCCTTATTTTGGGATTTTGGTCTGTCCTCACTTTGATTTTTGTCTCTGAAGGAGTCAGATTAGATCCATGGACCCCTGAAGAGTACTTGTTTCAATTTGTTAGTAGTAGATTTTTTCTTCTGGGACTCTATTATATATATCACAGTTAAGTATATACTCAAACTGATGCTTAAACAGAAAAAAAGGATCATCTCATTAAGCTTTGAGTAAGGTTATCCACTTAACTTAGGTACTAATAAATGCTGTGGGTCTAAAATGTTCAATATTGCAATGGGCAAATTTTAACAACCATATCTTCTGTGGTAAGATTGAGTTTTAGGCTAAATTTGGGATTTTAGTCACAACAGTAATTCCCCACCCTCTAAAACTGTGTAGTAGCAGATTATTGAAGTGGGAAGGATACTGATATAATAATTCAAGGTAATTTTCAAGTACCTTCCTGTGAATTGCTTTCTCCATTAAAAAAGACAAATGAGTATGTCAAATTCTTTTGGATTAGAAACAGAAGCATCAGTTTTACCAGTTTCGTTGCAAACTTTGTGGTAATTTTATGTTTTCATAGGCTGTAATTCAGAAGTACAGTACATAAGAACCATCCATTAGGTGGTTCCATAGGTATACTATTGAAAGGGACAACCAACTAATTTAAAAATAATCTACTGGTTACATGTGATTAACAAAATTTCAGAGAATTTTTTAAGTGTTTTTTTTTTAATTTCAAAATATTAAGGGGGTACAAATGTTTTAGGTTACATGGATTGCTTTTGTAATGCTTGAGTCTCGGCTGTAGGTGTGCTCATCACCCAAATAGTGTTCATTGTACCCATTAGGTAGGTTTTTGCCCTTCCACTCCAACCTTCCCTCTGGTTAATTTCCACTGAGTTTTACTTCCCTCTGTGCACATGTGTGCTCATCAGTTACTTCCAATTTAATAGTGAATATATGTGGTGTTTGTTTTTCTATTCTTGAGATACTTCACTTAGGAGAATGGTCTGCAGTTCCATCCAGATTGTTGCAAAAGGTATTAATTCATCTTCTTTTTATAAGTGTTTGTTTTTTGTTAATGGACTGGTATTTAATTTTATTCTGGTTTGCTTGGATTAGCATAAAGGCAAAGCAAAAGTTTCATCTTTGAAGGAGGTCAGGATAGATCCAAGGATATCTGAATGGCATCGAATTATCTACCAACATTATTACTTATGTGTTAATAGTGAAATTTAAAACAGCATAAGTTCTCATCAGTTAAATGAAATTTGATTGATTTTCTGACATGAATGACTCTTAAGGTTAGAAACTAATACAAATGTAGAAAAATGAAACCAAATATTTTCACCAAAGTAATTTATTTTTTCCTGAGAGAATAAATTCAGTACAATATTTGCTTTCATAACATCCAACATGTCTTATGTCAAACTTAACCACTTTCTATGCAGTGACTGTGGTGAGGTGATCTATTTTATTTGACTGCCCTCAATGTAATTCATTTGGGTAGTTCTAAGGCATATCAGTGATC